GATTGGTTAGTTCTTTGCAAACCTCATCTCATTTTTAAATCTGATTCACTCACTAAAATCCTGTTTTTTTCACATTTTCTACCGTCAGTGGAATCTTTCCTAATTTGTATATGTGTAACTGAGTTTTAGGACATTTTATCAAAATACTTATCATCTCTGAACACTTTGAAAGTAGTAAATCCCAGATGGAAGATGTGAGCTTTACTGTCAGGTCAGCAATGAGGTTAATTTCTGTCAAGGGCAACATGCGGCAGGAGCACACAACAGGGTGAGTGGGAAGGTTAGAGGAGGCTCTGTCGAGGAGCTGCAGTCGGCTCCAGAGGAGTAAGTAGACTTTTACTCGTATTTATTGAATGCCTACTATGTGGTGGACGCCGGAGATACAGCAGTGAACAGAAAAGATGCAAATCCCTGCCCACATGGAGCTTATATTTGAGAGGGAGAGACAGGAGCGGAGAAAAATATATAGTATTTTTTATTGTGATAAGAGCTAAGGAGAAAAAAAAAAATTAAGCAGCAAAGAGCAACAGGACGTGCCAGAGGTTGAGGGAACGCTTGCAATTTTATATAGGTGGCTTAGGGAGGCCACTCAAAGATGACACTGGAGTGAAGACCTGAGGGAAGTGCCCGCACGCCTGCAGAAGGGAACAGGGGCTACCTGGACACGTCGCCCACGTTGGGCTTTGGAAAGGAAGGTTTGGGAGGCCCGGCAGGCTTGTGGGGTCCAGCTTTCTGTTTCCAAGCAACTGACTCAGAATGTATAGGCCCTTCTCTCTCTGAGCCGGTAACCCCTCCTCCCAGTTACTCCATCTGTCTGTCTTCTCAAATCAAATAACATGAAGGGAGAGGACATTTTAAAGATATTTTAAAAGATTTTTTGTCTGAATTGAATTACCCTTAATCCTTCCCAAATTAAAATGTCCTCTGTATAGACACAAACTTGATCTCTATTCCAAAATCATGGCTAGAGGAATATCTTCAGAACTAAAGATGCTTTACTTTGCTAGACATCCCTCTAAATTTAATGCATCTTTATAACCTAAAGATAACTTTTCCTATTCAAGATCTTAGCTAAAACAAGCCATTATCAGGTACTTTGCCATATTGATCAGTGCTACAGTCTAAGGACGGGGTCTGTAACGCGGCCCATGGGCTCCTAGGAAGGTTTTGAGAGGCTGCTTGCATAGAGACTCCCACTCTGGACACGTTGGGGTCCCACAAAGTAGAGAGTGCACTGGGTAAGGATAAGATGAGGAGGGAGTGAAAGGAGACGGGGCCGTGTTGTGAAGAACCGTGGATTTCATCTGGTAGGCAGCGGAGAGCCGAGCAAGGTCAAAGGACCCTTAAGATTAGGTGTGCTTTGTAGGACGTTGGCTGTGGCCGTGACGCAGTGGCAGGGTGCAGTTAGAGGAGGCTGCTGCCAGGAGACCCATGGAATTGCTTTATCTTCTGTGAAAACTGTCCTGATCCTCCTTCCCTTCCAGACTCCCCTCCGGTAAATACCATTGACAGCTCTTCACTTTGTGTCGCCGTTTCGCCCTGAACGCATGCCTGACGTAGCCCATGAGAAAGCGCCAGGTGGGCCCAAATGGAAGATTCCCAGGCTGCAGTGCAAGGACAGATTCAGAGAGACTGCCCAAGCGATGGCACAGCAGAAACTCCAAAGCCCGGTGTCTAGCTTAAGGCACGGGCAGGCTGACATATAATTAACTGTCACAGGATGTATGCACCTGTATCTGTGTATATATGTATGTGTGTGTGTATATATATATATGCATTGTTATATACATAATATTTAGATTATAATACATATAATAGCAGCCAAGTAAAAACCTTTCTTCTTACTGGATACCACTGTGTACAGACTTTAGTATACTCACATAAGCCGCTGGAATTGCTATATTGCTATTGCTAGTTGACCATAACACTCTTTTCAAGAGCTTCAACACCAAATAAGCTTAAAGACTTAGAGAAAACATAGTGGATCAGTAATTTGCAGGGTCCCCTCCATGCAAATGCCCACAAAGGGCTTCTCTCTGCAATGTGGTAAATGGAACTTCAGATGGAGCTACTCAACAGAAGTCTGGGCAAGTTCTTGAAAATCTGTTTTGTAGGAACCAGTTCACATCTAACTGTTTGATACGCCATTAGTTGCCTGTTGCCTTTATAGTTTCTTCTTTTATGACACAGCAAACGAGAGAGAATGCTTCCAAACCAGACTGTCACTTTTTTCATTTGCTGTTGCCTCAAGGTTATATCCCTGATTTTTCTAAATAGACAAACATTTGGTATTTGGGGGGCAGGGGTGAGTGTCTGTTTGGGCCACTGGGATGCTGGTGGACCTCGATCTGAAATTCTACCACTTTGATATCTTTAATGGAAGTGGGATCCATTGGGAAAGGAGCTAGCTAGAGGATGGTGAGTCAGGTTTTGCACTTGTCCTGTTGAGATGCTGGTAGGATCTGCATTGAGACGTCCAGAAAGCATTTCAACATTCAGAGTTGAAGCTTGAGAAGGGCACAAAGCTGAAGATGGGCATAGGGAAACTATTTGCAGCAAGACAATAGCTAAAAATTCAGAAGAGCCCCTCCCCCCCAAAATACAAATATAGTCGGAGGACTGGCAGCCTTGGTGTCACCTGGGGGTGGTCAGAAATGCAGTTTCAGGTTCCATTCTGGACTTGATGAGTTAGAATTTGTATTTTAGCAAGGTCCTCGCTTTATTCATGTGCACATTCAAGTGGCAGAAGTGCCGGAGGACACCAAGAAGACTGTCAAGCGACAGGAGCTGGAGAGACGTCGGCATTTACAAGGCTGACAGAAGAGACCACAAAGAGGGAGACCATGAGGAACCCGAAGATGAAATCTAGGGAGAAGGGTCGTCAAGAGCAGGTGGACAGAACATTAAACAATCTCATTTACCTTACAGGGTGATAGGACAAATTCAACCAGTGTCTTCTCATTTTTAGTCTCTTGTTTTCGTTTTTTGCAACTCCAGATTTTCTAGAGAATACAGACAGCATCGCCTTTCGCTGCTCCTCCAGCCTCCAGGCCCAGAGAGGAGAAAAGATCATTATGCGCCTGGGCTCGTCTTACCTCTTAGGATGGCAAATGGCCGTTTACAGGTGGGTGATTTGGGTGAGTGAAGGGAGTTTTAAGACAGGAGTAGGCTGCTCTGCAAACCATGTTTTAAAGGTAACAGGCCAGCGAAAGGAATGGACTAGATTGGACCTGAGGAGCATGGGTTGAACCGGGGAGGAACCCAACATCTGAAGGTGGGACCACCCAAGACCGAGAGGGGATGGGAGCTGTGGGCGGCAGACCCATTTGCACAGGCTCCTGAGGCCTCAGGTCTCCTGGGACACCCACGCTCAGCATGTGGGCGTGTGGCGGGGAGACCAGAGCTGCTGGCCCAGCCTGCTTGATTTAGGCCCGGGGTTTTTGTGCTCTCCAAAGGTGGGGAAAGGGGGAGAGTAGGGGAAGTACCAAAGATGGGCTGATATTGTATATAATTATGAAAAAGATCAAACGTAATATTTAACTTTCAATGGGGAGAAATTTATGCCTGTTTTACTTCGTTTACCCTCTATCGACCATCACTTCATTCCTGAGAGATTTTATTGGGAATGGTTTCTAACATTAACTTTATGTTTGTTTAAACCCATTTCCTGGCTCTGTCAGATATTTGAAAAGAAATGATAGAAAATACAAAGGAGTCTGGAGACTGAGGTTCTAGCATCATCTCTATTTCATAGTAGCCATGTGACATTTGGCAAGACATTTATGCTCTCTGGGCCTCAGTTTCTACTTTTGAAAAATAAAGGTCTAAGATCATCTTTATTGTATGATGATGCTGTATCACCCCACTATTGTACGGTGTGTAAAAAAGACAATAGGGTAGAAAGGTTTGAAAATCATGGAGGTTATGAACATAAATCATAAATATGGCAGCCCCTAAATTTTTCAGTCAGTTTAATCTCCTTAAAGCTCTTCACTGAACATTGTCCATGATCTGGGCAGCCAGGAAAGAAAGAGAAAATTAATAGGTAATCAGATTGAAGAAAGGTCAGGAGCTCCTAACACATATGCCCAGGACGGGGATCCAGTCTCCCCACTCAGTGTCGCTGGACAGTTCCTTCTGACTAGAACTTAACCTGCTCCCGCACACGGCAGGGTGGCCTTGTTCATCTGGCTCTTACAGACTGATCCTGCCCCCGGCCGGTGTGGCTCAGCGGTTGAGCGTCGCCCTAGGATCCAGGAGATGGCGGTTCGATTCCCGGTCAGGGCACAGGCCCGGGTTGCGGGCTGGGTCCTCAGTCAGGGGTGTGTGGGAGGCAGCCGATCAATGACTCTCTCATCATTGATGTTTCTACCTCTCTCTCCCTCTCCCTTCCTCTCTCTGAAATCAATAAAGATATATTAAAAAACAAAACAAAACAAAAAGACTGATTCTGCATGAAGAGGCCCCTGTCTCCAATTCTCAGACCCAGTTTTTTAGCTAAAACCCTTCATGTATCCTCTCTTCCCGCCCTCCCTGATTAGGTTCACCTATTATATGCTAATAGCATCCTCTACTTCCCTTCCTTTATTTTAATAAGACACGCTGCGTCTGATCACTTAATATCTATCATCGCTATACTGTAAACACCACAGGCGCGGGCACCGTGTGTGTTTGTTGCCCCTCCCTTCCCAGTTCCTACCATAGGCCCTGGCATATGATACGCATTCAAATAAATAGTAATTGAGTGAAAAGACGAGTGACTGAATGCCATCTTGCAGAGGAGAAGATGAAGACTCATTAGCCAAGTCAAGTCACTAACAAATGAGAGAACAGGAACATGGATTTGTGGCCAGGGGCCCCACAGCCTACCCCTTCTCCACTGCAGGCGGTTTCCTCATCTCTGTCCTGGACGCCCACCTCCTGCAGTGACACTGGTGCTGGAGGAGGCAGGCACTTGACTTTCTTCTTTTTGTTCACCAATGCTCGGTGCACACTTTGTGAACATGCACTCGGCACCTTCGAGGTCTGCATTTGGGCCAGTGGCCTTACGCTCATGTGGAGGACCGTACTGAAGTATTCGAAATTATGACAAAAATGATGGCCTCCCTCCTGTCATCTGCCTTCATCTGTGTCGTGGACGCCAGCACACGAACATCCAAGTTGGGAGTGCGTGGTATTTGTATTTCTCCCATGGACGCAACTGAGGGTCCCCTCTCATCCCTAATGCAGCAGTTCCCTCTCTGCCCCAGATTCTCACACAACCAGAGGTCAGCCCTGGAGCCACCCAGGCCAAGCTCCAGGTCCGTTTCCAGAGCTCGGGTGTCCTTTGCCTCAATTTCCTTTCTCTTGCCCAGAGCTACGTTCCTCACCGGTCCACTGCATCTGCTATGGATTTGCCCTCGCTGGCTGGCTCGCTCTCTGCCATGCCCACAGCTCACTCTTACTGAACTATTTCTTCAAAAATCCATTAAGCTTAAGATCTCTAATCTATGACAGGCAGAATAAACACTTGCCCAAATGGAAATTAGTTTACCTACCTTTCTTTACTTTATAATGTCATCAAAGCAAATTCTCAAACTTTGAATGGCTCCAAGTACTTTTTGATGATTCTCTTACTTACATGTCCTATTTATCGCAACTCAGAGAAAATAATTTCTCAGACTTTTCTCAACCTTTGTGGACCGTTTATATGACTTAGAAAAGGCCTAATTCTCCAAACCAGCCTGCAGCACGGGGAATGTGTGCAGCAGAGTCCGAATGTCTCCCTCTTCCCTCTTCTCCAGTCACCACCAGCATTGTCCAGTTCTCGGTCACAGTGAGATTAAAGGGCCTCCCCTCCCAGGGTGACGCAGGGACCACAGCCCTGTCTTCCCTGCCTGGTGACCTGTCGCCCTCTGCAGGAGGACTTTATTTCGGCTCTGCTGAATCCAGAGCTCCCTGAAGCTATGCTCCTTCGGTCTTTATAAAACCTGAGCTAGATCTGGTGACCTTCTGAATGTTACCTGTAATTAACCCACAGATTCCCACCTGTCTAAATTTGTGGAGTTGTTTCCATGTTACTGAAATTTCTACCTACACTGAGAAACCCTAGTGCTTGGAAGACTTTCACATTGGGGGGTGGCGTGGCCTGAAGTGGACATTAATATTTTGATTTTTAATTTACCTTTAAAAAAAACTCTGGCATATAGAACAGATTACCTTCTGGTTTCCCTTTGTTCTGGATCGTCCCTCCAAATCTGTATTTTTACTTGACCATATTGAAGAGGAAACATTGGGAACAGGCGGAGTTAAAGAGTAAAAAGATTGTGGTGAGAAATAAACTAGGATAGAGGTCAATTTTCTGCTATCTACTGTGTGACCTTGAAATTTTCTGCTATCTACTGTGTGACCTTGAAATGCCGTTTCACTCCTCTGGGCTCTAGTGTTATCTCCTGTTACATTAAAGGGCTGGCCAGGATGGTCCCTAAGATTCTTTCAGCTCTGAAAATTACTCACCGTATGTTTACTCCTGCATCACCCCTCTCTATTAATATCTATTCCTCTTTTAAAAGTCATATAAACTAGTTCTATTTTCTAGCTCGTTTTTTTTTTTTGCCTTTTTATAGCCATATTTATAGCTCTGTTGTATTCGCTACATTCTCTTAAACAGAGATCAATCACTTTACATATAGAGCTTTCAAGAAAAACAATAGAAGAGTCATAGAGGTCATGCTTTTAAATTTCAAAAAAAAAATTTATTTTATTGTCCCCTTTCCAAATTATTTACAATTTAGATGTTTCTTCACTCTGTAGTATTTTTAATATCCTGCACCAATGTCCTTACCAGGAATGATAGTTAATAATCTTTAGCACCCAACAATAAAAACATTTATTGTGCACCTACTATGCGTCAGGCACTCTGCTCGCTGGTACAGATACAAAGACAGACGAACCCTAGACCTCGGAAACCAAGGCTGAGAAAATGTTCCTGAGTGTTTAGAAGTTAATGTGCTGCTACTTCCTTCTCATTATTCCTGCTCTGGCCTAAAACTGACGTCAAGGACATCAGGCTGAATCCACGCTCCTTGATGCGAGCAAATAATCTAAGGTGGAGGAACACGGTCTCGTACATAAAACGGCCTCTATTGTACCTATGTGGCAAATAAGCTTAATTCTTACATGACTACTTCAGCTTCTTACCTGTAAAATATGAATATTTTATGTCTGGACTTGGGACAGGGATTGGACTATATGATTCTAAGATTCATTCTAACTCATACAGGCCTATTGTTTGGACTTGTAGTTCAATTATATAATGTTTTTAATAATTAAGGATAGGACTCTGCTTCATAAAATCTAGTAGAAATTAAGCAAAGTCCACCAAATCTTTCACTGTAGGAAAACTTTCATTGTTGGAAAACCAAATACAAGTCCAGCCACGTCTATTTTGGAGCTGCGGTGGTGGCCTCTTTGGTCGAGGCCGTAAGATCAGTGGAAAAACACTCACTTCATTAAAACAGGGGCACATGCATTCAAAACTAACAAAGCTGCAAGAATTCATCACCAGAAGACCTGCACTACCAGAAATGTTAAAGGAAGTCCTTTGGGCAGAAAGAAAATGACGCCGGTTGGAAATATGGCTCTACACAAAGGAATAAAGAGCTCTCCATGGACCCAAAATTCAGTAGCTGGTGCTCCAGCCTGCGCCGGATCAGACACGGGGAGCAGACAGTGCGATCGAAACAGGCACACGGGTCGTTCGGAGGAGGAACCACTGGAAGCCCTGCACTCGGAAGAAAACAAGAAAAATAGAAGTTTGCTGGAGAAAGAGAAATGATTCTGAAATTCTAACAGGCTGACGTCAACTCGTGTTGGCCATCAAGAAA